CTGGAAGACTACTTTTGACATGTCTTGAAGGGGACAGCCTTAGATATATTCCTGGGTTGAAGAGGTCTAGAGGTTTCAGACACATCTCATGTTGATGGGAGCAGCCTCAAACTCACAGCCTGATTAATTGGGGGATAACCTCAGACCCCCCACCTGCCTAAAGGGGTTAGCTTCAGACCCATACCCTCAGACACAAGGCAGACTGGGGAAAACGGGTCTTGGATTCATAACCTGGGTTGGGGAGGGGGTTGTCAAACTGTCAAACTGACACAGATCTAATGACAGGTGGGTAGAAGGCTAACTTCAGATCTACAGCTGAACAGAGGGTTAGCCTCCGACTCAAACCCTGAGCAGGGAGGGCAGCCTCACAGCCACACGGAGGGTGGAGTGGCCTAGCCTTGGGCTCATACTCTGGTTGGGGGTGATGGGAGTAGAGGACAGACTCAAATCTCTAACCACATGTATAGAGGCTAACCCGAGACCTACAATCTGGGCAGAGAGGCCAGCCCCTGAGCAAGCGGGCCCGTCTCGATCCCAAACATACACTAAGCCAGAGGCTAGTCTCAGATGACTCTGGGTAGGTAGGAAGATGTCACTCTCCAGCCTGGGGAGGAGGCCAGGCTCACTCCATCCTTGGACTGCATTTGGGAAGAGCAACTCCATCTGGTTCCCTGAGAGCGTGGTGGGGACCAACCAAACTGCCCCAGGAAAGCTCACCAGGCCTGGGAGCAGGACACATACCTCCTGGGCCAGCCGGTTGATCTTCAGTTGCTTTTCCTTCTCTAGCATTTCCTCTTTCTCTTTGTAAAGCTTTTGCTCAAATTCCAGTTCCTTCTTATTCTTTCTCAACTCCTGAAGGCTATCATACTTGGCTTTCTTCTTATCCTTTCCTTTCTGAGCAGATGTGGCATTGTTTATAAGACAAGGGTTACAAGGTAGTGTTGACACTGGCACAGCACAGCAAACAGGGCATTCAGTCTTCAGACAACAGCAGGCAACCACCCCACGGTGAGCCCCTCCCCTAGCTCTGCCCCACCACACTGGGCATTGGACTTAAGGTTAAGGACAGGCAGGACGCTGCTACCCATCACAGAGTGAGACACATTTCCCTGTGCCAGCCAGAAGAACTGGCTTACTAGTTCACTAACAAGCTGTGTGACCTTGGTTAAGTTCCTTAACCTCTCTGGGCCTGGTTTATCTCATCTCCAAAATGGGGGAAATACCTACCCCACAGGTTTGCCATTCAGAGCCAATGAAATAACATCTATGAAAGAGCTTCGTGAGCTTCAAAGCGCTGTATTTTAAAAAGCATTGTATTTATTTCTTAGTATCTGGGCATATGCCTTCTCCAACAACTGGATGTTCAGACATCACAGGTGCATCTTGGTAGATTCTAGAGAAAATCTGGGACAGATCCCCGGTCCTGAGCTAGAGGAGAAGGGTGTCAGCCTCCGACCTGGGAGCCCAGAGCCAGGGACATCAGATTTTGTCCTGATGCTTAAACTCCAGACCATTTCATCCTGGAGAGTCCAAATCCACTGTTCCCTCTGAACTAGTCTCCTGAACTGAGGACTAGACAGAAACTACAGGACTGGGAGATGGTGGGCAGGAGAAGGTAGGGAGGATGGCCTAACTGCTCTTCACTGGCCATCAGGGTTGAAGAGGACTGGGGGAAGGAGATGCAGGGCAAACAGACTTCTTTTTCCCGTTTGAATGAGACCACAACGTCTGCCTTCCTGGTTGCTTCTCCCATGGGCTTGCAGGGAAGCCAGGGAGTAAGGAATGAAGAAAATTAAGATTTATGGACTACCTATGTGCTAAGGGATTAAAAGCTGATTATCTCATAAATACGTATTATCCCCCTTCTGATGAAAGAGCCGAGGTTCAGAAAGGTGAAGGCCCTTGCTGGACGTCAAACATCTAGTAAGTGGTGGCGCCAGAGTTTGGACCTGAGTTTCCCCACGGTGCTCTGATGAGCTGGGGGCAATGGAGCACGGTAGGAGGGAGCGTCAGACCCCATCACACAGCATGGAGGACAGGGGCCAGCAGACAGAGTCAACACTCTGGGGAAGGAGGAAGCCTGCACGTTCACTGAGCTCACCCCCAAACCCACAAGGCTTCCTGGGGCCTGCTCTCAGAATTCCTGAATCATCCCAGCATCCAAGGCCAGGAAGGAGGAATTGAGTTTCCCAGCAATGGACACACAACTTTGTCCACAGCTGGAGGGGCGTGATGGGTCATTATGGACATGTGACCGAGTCATTCTGCCTCCCCTCCTAAAGACTACCCCCACCTCTGTGCACAGGTTCCCCATCTAGGATATGGGGACTCACCCCCAGAGCAGTCTGTGAGCCACTTGAGAAAATGGTTTTCACTACTTCAGAGTTCTGCTTGATTCCTTCCTACCCCGTTCACTAGATTCTCAGCTCAGTTGATAGATGAATCCCTACTATCATATTATCAATTCAGACAATTCCCCAAGAGGAGCCAGAAACATTCTACCCAATGGCAGTTTGCTAGACTAAGGGCATGGCCTCTCACAGGGACCATCATAATAGGCATGGCCATTCTACTAGTTTAAAAAAAACCACCAGTGTTAAGATTTTAGAGCTAGGGCTCCTGGGTGGGGCAGGCAGATATGAGTTTCTGTCCCATTCCCAAGAAAAAAGTACCTGCTTACTGAAGCAGAAAGGCAAGCTGCCCCACAGCACTGCCTACTGATCACACACTAGCCTTCTCCATACGTGTTACTTAGCTGTGTGTGAATCGGCCTGCCCTGCCAGATGGCGGGCTCCTACAAGTAGGGTTGGTCTCTGTGATTTACTCAAGCCGTCCTGGGGAAAGGATTCGGTCAGAAACATGAATCCTTCAGGCGCTGGAATGGACTTTGTGAGGTCACAGGCCTGGGCGCCTTGAGACCCAGAGGGCTCAAGAAGACACTGAATAGTTATCTTTTCAAATAAGGGGAATTTTTTGCATTGCTGATCAAGGCCATAGAGGGCCACTTGTATTACCTGGGGACTTCGCTCCAGCTGCTGGGAGACAAAGCATCTCACATGACTCTAGAAAAAATGTCAATGGATTTTCAGAGCCAGCATGAGGGACATGATTCTGTTGTCCTTTAGCTGTCAGTTAAATTCATGGCAGATATTCCTTCTGGTCCAGACTGAGAGGAGAGGCAGATGGGGTGGATGCGCTCTTGCTTCTACCTAGATGCAATTTTTCTCTCTTTTGGAAATGAAATGAAAACCAAAACACCAGCTATTTCTGGAATGACTGGACTAATGAATAGAGGAAAATAAGCTTTCCTATTCACCAAGAGTGATTTTCGAGTGACATGATTTCTGATGGGAGGTGTGTGTGGAGGAGATGCTAGTTCTTTTACATTTATCTAGTTATTAGTGCCTGGAAAAGATTTTACCTGTACATCTCCTTTTATTATTTTTTCAAATAAAATCCTCTGTGTGCGTGTCTCATAACCTGCACCCAACTTGATTTTTCACTGTCTGACCTTGGCTTCTGGTCTTGGCCTCTGGTTCTACTTGACAGAGAAACAAAGCAGAAGTTTCCTGCCATGGTTCTGTCCTGTCCCGTGCCCAGTGGGGCTGGTGCCGACCCAGCAGTGCCTGATGGTACCTGGGAAGGTCTCAGCCCATGAATACCTCCCCCACGATGCCGCTGTGACAGCGCCCTGCCATCTGACATCAGTCTGACAGAGAGGCACAGACAGGGTTAGCCCCCCCCAGAGAACAGGCGGTCACACTGTTGAGAGACGACAGGAGAAGAAACAATGTTTGGAAAAGGTCAAAACCAACGGCAAACTCAGCAGCAAACAGCACCCAGTCCTGGCCTACCTTCCGGATGGTTGGGAATTTGCCATCGTAGCGATAAAACCATCCAAAGGCTATAAGAACACAGAGAACAAAGCAATGAGATGCAGTTCAGCTCAGCCAGAGCATCCGTGGGCAGCAGCCAGGAGGAGTTGGGTTCCCAAGGAACTCGCGGCTTTGTGAGATGAAGAGCAGCCTCGGCAAATTCAACAGCAGAACCACACCCTCTATCTGACTCTCCACTTACCTGGCCTCACCTGGGTTGTAAAGCAGGCCCAAGACCACCTGAGAAAGGGCCCGATTCCCAGGCCCCGGGCCACTGTCAGCTGCCTCCCCCAGGACACTGGCTTCAGCAGTCAGTGCCAGAAAGTCAAAGAGAAAGCCCCTTGTAGAAGGATGCGCTTTTCCCCATCACAGCCACAGTCTGCAAACACAAAGTCCCATTGAACAAGGCCTCTCCTGACTGGCGTCAGGTTCCTCCATCCAAGAAACAACCCGAAACAAAAGGGAGCCTGGGTCTCTGCCTAGAACGACTGTCAGACAGAACAAAACTGTCTTGTCTCACAGAGCAGGCCACGTCCTCTGCTTTCAACGGCGAAAGAGAAGGCTCTGGCAGGGTCAGCTCGGGGAAGGACGCTCAAGCAGCAGTGGGCAGGAGATCTGCCCCCAGAAAAGCATATCCCCACCCAGGCCAGATCACCAGCCCCCTGCCTTCCCCAGGCAACAGCATGACGGATGGGCTAATACCTCAAGGCTGAAGCTCCCTGGCCAGAAGTGATGGCTTAATTACCCACCCTTGACCAGCCTGAGCTCTGGAACGGGATCTAGAAAGCCCCCGCTAGACCCAGCACTATCCTCTTAGTTGCTGGATGTTGGGGAGGTCTAGGGAGTCTTGGGGGAGAGGCCAGAGCAGCAGAGAAAGAACTTAGGCTTGGGTAGTATTAAATATTTGAACCAGCAGTTCCAGCTGACATTTCAGCCTGGCCGTGAGTCTTGTCCTTAAGGTATTGTATGCAGTGCTTGGACCAAGCCGGGGCTTGGAGGAGCTTCCCGGACTCCAGGAGTCCCTACCACATATTGGACCCTCAGAGCTGGGTGTCTGCAGGGCTGGCAGGAGGAGGCGGGCAGGGCAGAGCAGCAAGGCCAGGGAGCGAAGCGGGGGCCGCAAACCTGCTCTCCCTGCTTTTCCGTGCCTCCGTCCAGGTCATCTGCTGGGTCAAACTCGGGGTCCACTCCCAGATCATCTACCCAGGAAAAGAGGAGGAAGCTGGTGAACCAAGAAGGACTTGGGAGATCAAGAGGCCAGAGGTGCTTGGGTGTGCCTGGGGGCCTGTGACCAGCTTACTCCATGGGAGAGCTGGGAGGTCAGGGGCGAGAACAGGGCTCAGGAATCCAGAGCAAAGGTTTCTTGCTCTGGGATGGTGCATGCAGTGCTTTCAACCTCGGTAGTTCTCATTTCTCCATCTGTAAAATGGGCTCACAACAGGGGCCTCTGATCTGACAGCAGCATGAGAACCATTTTGCAGGGGGTTTGGTTGAAACAGGAGGTGCAGTACTGATGACAGGAATATCTGAGTACTATACACGTTTGATGCCAAGGGCTTGCAATGGGAAACAGATCCTCCCAGCTTCTTCTCATCACCCTTGGAGCTCTGGGTCCCCAGGGAATGTCAGAACTGTGTGTGTGGGCAGCAGACAGAAGTTTGGGATCCTGAGGAGGTGAGGAGGTCCCAAGGGGTAAAAGGGGCACGTGTGCTTAGAAAGACATGAATTCTGACCTAATGTGGAGAATAGCAAACTGTCCTTTCCAGTGATTTCTAACCTGGACTCTGGCCTCCCTGGTGCCCTGGAAAGTAGTGTTTGAGTCTGCTATGAGCTGCTTATTAATATTTCAGAATATTAATTAGAAGAGCTGGCCTATTAACCTATGAAAAGGCTATACGTAAGTTCCTTTGCTTTTGGCTCAGTTTATATTTACTCAACAATGGAACACTGATGCTTTCTTGCTAACAAGAGGGACTACTTAATAAAACAGTGAATACAAATGATTACTTAATAGTGTAGTAGGAAAAAACTCAACTTCCAAACCATGGGGTCTAATGGGATTGGGGGCTAATAGATGGGGTCCTCGATGAGAAGGCTGGAAAGCTCTTATTTAAACTTCTTATCTTTCAAGCCTCCTTCCAGCTCTGGGAACCTTAATTACCCCTCTGCCCCCTTTTGCTTTTGCTAAGGAAAGCTATTCTGGGGCCTCTGTGACTGTACGTCCTGGCTTTGAGGGCTCAGTGCAATGTTGAGGTTCTGCTCAACATTGAGGTCGGTCGTGGGTAGGCAGGCAGAGCCCCTGGGAAGCAGGCGGGGAGGGGAGCAGTCAGTTCCCCCTGATCATTAGGATGAGTGGCTTCGTTTTCCAGGCAAGAGATGCTTCACACTCTTTCCTGTCTGTTCAAAAATGCTGGCTCCACACAGGCACAAGACACCTGAGTCAGGTAGAACCTGTCAGCTGACTGGACCCCCAGATTGACGAGTGGTCAGGGAGGGGCTGGCTGCAGCCTGGCCTGTCGGCTAAAAGGCAGAGACCATTCCAGCCTCCGAGGAATGGGGGAAAGGTGGGAACTGAGCTGGCCCAGAGGCCTTCCTGCACTTCCTGCCTAATCTCCAAAGTAAAATTAAACTGCCGATGCAGATGCAAATGGATGGCGGTGGCCTGGCTGCCTCAGCTCAGGCCGGCAGAGCCTGGTCCTCAATCACTTGCTTCCTCCCGTTCCCTTAGAAGACATTTACATCTCCAGCAAAGGGAAAGCTTTTGCTCCTTTTATTCAAGAAGCTTGATTTGGTCGAAAAGCACTGAATAAATAGCTAGAGAAAGGGCTTTTATTTTTCACAGTTCCTGAGAGGGTGTGTTTGCTTTGAGGCCAAGACCCAATTTCTAGGAAGGTACTAAATTGACTGGGATTACTTTCATGAGAAGCAATTAAAATCGATTTCTCCCTTTCAGAAGCTCCTATTTCACTCCAAAGAACAAATTAGCTACCTGTCTAAGGCACAGATTATTCGCCGGGAATCTAGCTCTGGCCACATCCTCAACTCATACCGAATGTCATGGGGGCGGCTGATGAGAAAGTGCTTTGTCCTTCGGAGAGGATCCGAGATGACATTGCCCCGGTTCCAGCAAGAAATGTGCTGGGAGATGCTTGCCCTGCACCAGGGAGGGGTGACGTGGAACCATCCAGATGCCCTGCGCCTCTTGTTGACCCCAGTGGCCTGGGTTGGCAAGTTGATGTCCCTCTAGGGCTCGAGTATGATTCAAAGTTGGGGCCAAAGCTGTCCGGACCCCATCACAGGATCCCAAATGGCTGCTGCACAGGGGAAGTGGGGGAACCTTGGTGCTTAGGTGCAGACTTGCCTCATACTGGGAGGGTCCAAGGTCGGCTGAGCACAGTCAGCTGGAGTAGAATCTGCCTTGTGTCAAGTACAAATCGAAACAGCTGTCAAGTCAGCGAGTAAAGGCCCAACCAGGCATCCTGGACCTGTGACTGCCACGGCCCCCCAAGCTGCCTGGCTCCTGGCTCCCCACCACTACCCCACTGAAGAAGCACTGAGACTGAGCCCCCAACCCTGCCCTGGTGGTGTGAGCTGCCCCTTGTAGAGACGTGACATCCTGGGAGTTGGGGTGGAGAGCAGGTGGACGGGGGAGCACGTGGTGGGGGCCTGGACTGCAAGTGGACATGGGAACACAGGACAGAGGAAGAAAGGAGATGGGAAGGGCAGAGGTTGCTGAGGCCCAAGGATGGCTGCAGTTTGGTGCCTGGGAGTGTCACACAGTTCTCTCCCCGGCTCCATCCTCGGAGTGGCATGACTGCAGTCCACACACAGGGATGCAGGTGGTAGGGGCACTTCGGTAAGCTCCTCCTGCAATTGCTCACCAGCCTTGGACCACCAGAGTCCTTCTCTCATGTGAGCCCCTTCCCCTCTTTCTTGCTGTTTTACCCCAGCCCCAATTCAGAACCGGGCAAGAGGAGGACACAACACCTGACACACTAGGATGATAATCCCATCAGCAGTTCGCTTTTGCCACAGCTCTCCAGCCCTTCTTCAGAAGTCCAAGGGCACATGCCTGAGTCTGTGTCATGGGGGAGAGCCTGGCAGCAGGCCCCCAGGACAAGGAAGGCAGGCAGATCCCAGCCATCCCAATGCCCTGGCAGACAGCTCCTGGCAGCTGGCTGCCCCTCCATGAAGAGAGAGCCATGGCCTGTTCACCTGGGCAGGTGGTGGTGAGTGGCGGGAGAGCTCTATCTTTGTCTAGACATCCCCAGCCCCAGAAGGAAGCCCCCTCTCCCCTGGCACATGATACATACACTTTGGCTTGCGAAGGGGTACTGGGTGCAACTCGGTGGTGATGGTTTTAGACGACAGGAGCTGTTCCTTTGAGCCCCAGTCTTCTTCCCACTGCTTCTTAAAATTCTCTTCCTCCTCCACGATCCTGAAATAAGACGCCTGTGACTGGAGTCAGAACCTTTGCAGGCCTGCCTTCTGCCTATTGGGGAACGCCAACCAGCCTGGGGAGAAGCCACGTGGTTGTAGCTGTGAGGAAAACGAGTCCCTGGCACTTGTATTCTAAATCAGGTGTGAATGCCACCCTGACAGTTACAAGACTGTATTCCAGTTACCCTAATATGATGGGTTTTACTAGGATTATGGAATGACCACAAATAAAGGACGGTCCACAAGGGGACAAGAGGGCCAGGTAAACTGGGCCTGGGGGTGGCCTCTGGGGCCGCACTCCCGCGAGTACACTCACGTCCACGCACAGACATGTGTGTGCAGACACATGGGGCCAAGGCACTCACTGTTCCATCTCCTTCCGGTATCTCTCATTTTCCTCTGCTGCCTTCTGGGCAATTTCCTTTTTCCTTCTGAAACACAAATGCAAGTTGGCATGTTGGAGTCTATGTCAGAGAAGTTAACTCTTCCTTGCAGCTAACCTCTGATTTGAGAAAAGTTTTAAATATTCCTTCCAGGCTCCTTTCCAAGGATGCCTGGACCAAATTTGGATGCTGGGAAAGAGGATCCAGAAAAGTCTGGATCCTGTGCTCTTGTGTGGTTTCGTCTGGCACTGCTGAGCAGAGATTCTGCACTGCGGGAGACTGGAGGCAGTTCAGTGCAGGCCACATGCCATGCAGCCACCTCTAAACACCAGCATAAAGTGACTGACTGAGTGAGGTCCTCCCAGAGGAGGGCCCCAGACCCCAGGGGCAAAGCCGGGGCTGCTAAGCAAGGCCAGAGTAATGGGCAGAGGTACCACCCAGGATGGTTCTTCAGGCAAATTCTGTGAAGGGAGAGGTGGAAAGATCCTGTCCACTTTCCTTTCCCAAATTCTTATTATGCTCATAGAATGTATCTGGATTGGGATTTTGACAATAGTTTTTGACTTATGAATTCTCTCAGTCATCATCCCAGCCACTCTGGGGTTGGTGGGGGGTAGTTCTGATCACCATAGATGGGGCAGCCAAACTGCCTGGGTATGAATTCCACAGCTTAGCCATGTCTGACTTTGTACACAAGTGGTGTAACCTCTCTGAGTCTCAGTCTCCTCACCTATAAAATGGGTTAATACTATCTATCTCCCAGGGCTATTATGGGAATTCAGTTGAGGAACGTAAACAAGGCCCTAATACAATGCCAGCCACATGGCTGGCACTTGACAAATGTTAGTTATTGCTAGTAGCATCCTATTTTCCATATTCCTGGGTCTTGGAAATCAAGGGCTTTCCTTGGCAAGGAGGGAGGAGCCTCATGGTCTGGAGGAAGGGGATGCTTCCACTGAGCATCACTGAACCCATCCGGTCTGAAGACAGGCCTCGAGGGAGACAATAAAGTCAGCTCAGGATGCAGTGGGCAGGAAGAAAGGCAGGTGGGATGGTACAGTGGTCTGGGAGGGCAGGGCAGGGGCCTCCTGGCTGGCCACACTCACTGCCGCTCCATCTCCTGCTGCTCCCGGAGGATCTTGTTGGATTCCATCGCCAGCCGCTTCTGCATCAGAAGCTCCTGTCGCTGCAGCTCGCGCTGCCGGAACTCTTCCAGCCGCTCCCGGTCTGTCATGAACAGCTCCCGGCCCTCATGGGGAGAAAAGAGGCGCCTTGCTCAGTCCCCTGGGAACCTAGAAGTCCACTGCCAGAGTTTGAGGGCCAAGATTTGGGTTGCCTTCTCATCTCCGTGCCCCCCATGTCAGGCATTGTGGCTCCTGCTCTGTCTGACCCAAGCTTCTGGCTGGGCAGAAATCCTCCCCAGCTGCTATCAGAGCTTCAGGGAAGGAGACCCCTTGGCCTTTCCCACGAGTGTGTGTCAGAGATCAGGGGTCTGAGCAGCTGGGCTGCAGGTCAGGGGTCACGGGGCCCCCACCAGCTCGTTCTGGACTTACAGCTCCGGCTACGATGGAGATGGTCAGGCTGCGGCTACTCTTCAGCACGTTCACGGCCTGTGGGGACAGGCAGATAGTCAGCTGAGACCTGACAGATCAGAGTAGTTGAGGCCTCTGGAGAGCACAGAAGGTTTCAGACATTGTGGCAAGGGGGACGTAGGTGAGAAGAGGACAGCAGAGAGGATCGCAGCCAGAAGGTGAAAAACCCACATCTCACCTCCTTGTGGTCCAGGTTGGAGAAGTCGATGCCATTGACTTCGACAATCTGGTCCCCCGGCTGGTGGAGAAATGGAGAGGGATCAGCATGTTTGTATTATCTGTACGCTCAGTCTGTTGGAAGAGCTCCCCCTGGAGGCCAGCATCAGACGTTGGGTCTTCAAGTAGCTGTACCTCAACTCTTCCCGAAAGAGCAGAGTTCCAATAGGGTCCTCCCAGGGCTCCTCCACCCCATATCTCTTTCATCAGTTGTCAAATATTACACCTTTATAAGTTCATTACTTTGGCTGAATTTACGACATTTGCTTTAAAAACTCAGTTTGTAGACTTACGAGCCTTTAAGCTTCTCATATAGTAGATTCTGTGTGGAGTCATAATAATAATTAGTATAATAGCTAACGTTAATCGATCCCTCAGTAGGTACCAGACACAGTTCTAAGCACATGTATTAATACATTTAATCTACACAATGACCCCAGAAGGAAGGCTAGTACCCCCATTTTACAGGATAGGAAACTGAAGCAGAGAAAGAGGAAATAACTTGTCCAAAGAAGAGGTTAAGAGTTCTATCTAGCTCTGGAATCAGACCACCTAGGTTTGAATCCCAGCCCTGCCATACTACGTACATGATCTTGGAAAGATCTTTCTCTGGCTCTCAGTTTCCTCATCTGTAAAATGAGGCTAACGATAGTACCTAATTTTCAGAGTTCTTATACATTTTAAAGGGCTTAGAACAATGTCCAATCCAGTTAACGCTCAATGAATGTCAATTCTGATTATTATTACTACATCCCAAGCTCAGGACCAAAGGCTCTCAGAGCTGGAGAAGGGCTGGAGAAAGGCTCAAATGTCACCCGCTCTGTGAAGCCTTCCCTTTGGGGGTTAGTAGGAATCATCAGCCAGTGAGTGTTGAGAGAGGGCTGTGTGGGAAAGCACGTGCTCCATCCCTGTGCGATCACAGTCTGACCCTGCACCCCACAGGGGCCCCACTGGGGCAGGCCCAGGGTCACTCACCTCCAGCCCCACCTCAGCAGACAGGGAGCCAGGCTTCACGTGGCTGATGAAGATGCCAGGTTTCTGGATGGGGCCGCTGGAAATGCTGTGGGAGATTCGGGAGATGAGGTGAGCCTCTGCTCCTCAGTGCTTGCTCATTTGCAATGACCGGCCCCCATGCCTGTGTGTCCAGGTCACGCATGAGCTCAGTACCCAAGCCCTCTGTCATCTACCTGCTCAGCCTCTGTCTACCTGTCCAGCCTCATTTCCCTGTGGCAACTACCAACAGAAAGCTACGTCTAATTCCCCCTACCCAACCTCTCATCCAACCTATTGCATATGCTGTTTCTTCTCTCTTTCTAGCATTTTCCTATGCATTCCTCAACACTCAAATGTTATCTCCTCTCCAAGGTTTTAACCAATCTCCTTATTCTATCCCCTGACTAAGCTGGTTGCTCCCTTCCCCGTGCTCCTAAAACACCTACAGCAAGGATGGCACTTGTACTGTTTGTTAATCTCCCCTCCCAGATCTGTGGCAGATATCACTAATCAATCGCAACACTCTTTTCCACCTACGCCTAGATACAGCATTAAAGTTTTTTTCAAAATAGTACGCCAGGGCAGCCACCACTAACTGACTAGAGAGAGCACAGGACGGAAAACTTATTTGCCACGCCTGACCCAGAATGCAGCTCCGTGACAGAGTCCCTCAATACTGGAACTATTTATGTGGTTGGCTTCTATATTAAGCTATAATTTCTTAGAAAGGAGGGACTTTTTTTTTTTTTAATCACTTATGCTTGTCAGAAAGGTGATGGAATGGAAATAAGAAGAATAACTTAGGGAATTCTCTGGTGGTCCAGTGGTTAGGACTCTGCGCTTTCGCTGCCGAGGGCCCAGATTCAATCTCTGGTCGGGGAACTAGGATCGCACAAGCCTCGTGGTGCGGTCAAAAAAAAAAAAGACAGATAATAATAGCTAATATTTATGAACTGCTTACTACCTGTCAGGCACTAAGCTTGGTACTTCATTCTGTCATCTCACTCTTCCCCCTTGTGATATGGGGACTACTGCTGCTGATTTATAGAGAAAGAAACTGAGGGGACTTCCCTGGTGGCACAGTGGTTAAGACTCTGTGCTCCCAATGCAGGGAGCCCGGATTTGATCCCTGGTCAGGGAACTAGATCCCACATGCATGCCGCAACTAAGAATTCGCATGCCACAACTAAGGAGTCCACGTGACGCAACTAAGGAGCTGGCGAGCTGCAACTAAGGAGCCCACCTGCAGCAACTAAGACCTGATGCAACCAAAACAAACAAACAAATAAATAAATAAATAAACTGAGGGTCAGGGTGGTTAAGTAGCTAGTCCAAGATTCTAGAGCTCATAGGTGGCACAGCAGGGCCTAGATCTCTAACTGCAGTACCCGTGTGCTTAACAAGAATGCCCCATGAGACTCAATGCCTGTTTGCAACTCCCTGGCTGCCTCCTAAGGAAGCCACAAGGTAATAAGTGAGAAGGGAACTGTGACAGAGATGATCAGCTTGACAGGTTCCTTTTGCATGACTTGAGGGCCCACCAAAGGAACATGGCTCTGCCTTTGGGCCTCAGTTTCCTCCTCTGTAAAATGGGCCTGTTAGAGCTGTCCCTCTGGCCCTACAGGGCTGTTGTGAAGCTCAGAGGGGAAATCAAGCACCAAGAAGTGTCATCACTAGTGGACAAAAGTCTCCTCAGAAGCAGCAGTGAGAAAGGGGAGTGGTGTGAGGGACCTATTGGGGTCTGCTGGCCATGAGTGAGCCCCAGGGCGTACCTGCCACCCACCTGCAGCCAAGGCCCCGGGAGCCCACCAGGCTGATGAAGACCTTCTTCTCCTTGTTTTCCTGACTGCTGGGGGAGCCCAGGCTGGTCTGCCCACCCTGAGGGAGGGAGATGATAAGGTCACCGGGTGTCCGCATTGTGCAAGGGGCCTCTTGTGCTCATAAGGCCTTCGGGGCAAGCCATGCTGTCCCCACGTGAGCCCGACTGCCGTTTTGTCCCTGGGAGTGTGCGTCTATACCAGCTGGGCCACCACCCACAGGGGCATTCTGGATGTGCTGGGGGCCTATATGAAGCCCCTGAGGACACATCCCTAGAGAAGGCCTTCCTTCAGGACCAGCTACCCCATCCAGCCCCCACCACCGGCGGTCCTGACCCTTACCCCAGATTCCGACACAAACTGATCCACATACTGCCATTTGAGGGGCTCATCGGGAGAGCTGATGGCAGGGGAGAGTAGAAGGCGCGTCATTAGGGAGAGATGTTTGAGGCACCAGGCCCCAAATCCAAATCTTCCTCATCTGAAGCCTGCACCATCACTGGCCCAGGGGCAGTGCTGGCCAGACCCCAGGCTGATCCAGGACCCTGAGCCCATAGGGAGGAGTCTGCCTGCAGAGGAGGGTCCTGCTCACCTCTTCACAGGGATCAGGCCGATGTCTGTGGGAGAAAGGCATGGGGGTTAGGATGGCTCCTCTGCCCTCCCTTCCTCCCCTAGGAGCTGGGTACCACCAGGTGCCCCACCCTGCCCCACCGTCAGCACCCCCGTGCTCTGGCCTCACTCACGTCTCACTTTGATGGACACAGTCTTCTTGGTGCGGATGAGGTTGATGACCTCCTCATGGGTGCAGGAGGCGATGGAATACCCATTGATCCGGACGATCTCATCCCCTACCTTAACCACAGGCAGAGAGAAGACGCACCGGGGTGAGGAAGCATCGGGCAGCTGGGCAGGCTCATGGCCAGATACTCCTGGCCTGCTCTCCAGAAGTCTTTCTGCCCATTTTACAGATGGGGGAACCAAGATGGGGGCGAGGGGCACAGAGAGCGGGTAGCAGAGCTGGGAGGAGAAGTCAGGATTCTGTACCCTCACTCTGTCCCTTCCACCCACTGGGGCACCATCAGGTTCTGTAATTCATGCGAAGGGCGACCCTCCAACAAGATTCAAGCAGCTCTTCCCTGGCCTTTGTCCTCTGAGCACCTTGGCCCTGGGGATCAGTCCTGAAGCTCCCCATTTAATAACTACGGGGCTGGAAGGATCCTCAGACATCAGTTGAAACTGAGGCCCAGGAGGTGATGTTTTGTCCACAGTCACAATCATTAGCTACAGAGCAGGGACTGGATCGTGGACGACCCGACCCTCTCCAGCCTGAGGCCAGGGCAGGTCAGCTGGCGGACTACCTCACACCACACATGCTGACCCTTTAGAGACTTGTTAGTAAGTGTAGGGGACGCAGCTTGACTCTCAGTGAGGTCTGGGGGCTGGGTGGGCACATAGCCTCTGAGGGGTCCTCCAGGCCAACACCTACCCTTTACAACAACCCCCAGAGTCACCTTCTCCCTACTGTCACCCGAACACTTCCCTTCCACACCTGGGCCCAGACCCCCGTCTTCTCAGTGGTCTGGCAAGGGGCTCAAAGAGGTGCCACAGGGGCGGGGGGGGCGGTCACTAAGAACCCCTCTAGGTTTCTGGGGCCTTCTCATGGAAGGAGGATGGCTGGATGGCCTCCTTGCAGCAGTTCTGCACAACAACTCTGCGTGTCTGTTAATCAGATGAGGAAACTGAGGCTCAGAGAGGTGAGGTGACTTGCTCAAGGTCACCCAGCTAGTGAACAGTGCTGCTGAGATTTGACATCAGGGCTCCCTGACAGACAAGTGTTGTCTCTTGGGTGTCTGGAAGCAGAAGAGAAGGGACTCTGGCCAAGCTTGGCTGCGGTTCCCTGTGTCCTGTCCTCTCTGGATCCTTGCCACCTGACAGAGCCCTCAAGTCCCATAGGAAAGGCAGGGATAACTCTGTCCATTTTACAGCTGGGACAACCAAGGCACACAGAATTATTCTCTAGCCTTGGACTATACAGCAAGTCGTGCAGGGCAGAGGACGTAGGTTCAGACAGGATACACTTGGACAAAAATCTAAAATAACTCCAGTAGGGGGACAAGTGCAGAGATGGAGGAGTCCCAGGGCTGGGTCCAAGGCCCCCACTCGGGGCCCAGCCTCACAGGTCAAATCAACGGGACCTTCAGTTGAGCCAGGCTGTATCTGAACATGCCCCTCCCCCGCCCTCAGACATGCGATCTCCCCAGAAACATGAACCCCACCCAGACAGGTGAATAGATGCAGATGTTTTCCCCAAGCTGCTCTGAGTGAAGCTCCCTGTGTTGTTCCAAAAGGGAACCTGCCCGGGACCCCAGTGGAACGATTCCCACACAACCCCCGGCTCAGCTTGCAGGATTGACTTTCCTCTCCCTCTCGCTCCCGCGTGGAGCCCTGCAAAAGGCCCTTTGTGCAAGGGCAACAGTGAAATGACGATCTGAGGGACAGCGGCACAAAGGAGAGATGAGCCCGTTAACCCGAGAAAGGGTTGATAATTCATAAGCCTGAGAAACAGGCAGGAAGGTAAAAGTCTACGTTTCATTAAAACGCCCTGAGGCCCCCAATCATGGAGGAATCGTTGAGAAGTGCTTGTCCTAGGAGGAGACCTCACCCTGGAAAAAAAAGAGGGCTCAGCTGACGCCAAGAGAAGAGCTCATTATGTTTTTTCTCTGGCTGTGTTTCTGGGCTGGAAAATGTGTGGCACAGGAGAGGAATAATGAAGGGGCTGAAATTTCAGACGCTACCAGTGAGCCGTGAGACAGGGATTTAGAACAAAGCGATGTCTGTCAGCTCCCAGTTTCCACCTCCCACTCCACGGTGTCTTGTACCATTAGCCGTCAGGGCCCCTGAAGCCCCTGGCTTGGCAGCCCAGATTGGGATGCTGGTAACAAACATGCTGGAAGCCCTGGGCGGGGGTGGGAGGGCCTCTTCTGTCTGGACAGATAAAAACACAGCTCTGGGCTCTGGCAGGAGCGAGACCTGGAGGTCTGCCCATCTCTGCCCAGACACTGAGGCGTGGCGACCCCAAGGGAGGGGACCCTGGGGTGCTGAAGAGAGATCCCTGGACTTGGCAGTCAGGAGACCCAGGTTCAAATCCTGGCTTTGCCATTTACTGGCTGTGTGACTCTAGTCAAGTCCCTGATCTTCTATCAACTCTGTAAAATGGGGATGAGAAAGCCCAGGCATACAGTGAGAACTGGCTGTCAACATGTTACCTGGCACATCATAGGTGTTTATTAAATCTCCCTCTCTGCTTGCTTAACAAATACACAGCGTTAACTGGTATATATAGAATGGATAAACAACAAGGTTCTATGGTACAGCACAGGGAATATATTCAATATCCGGTGATAAACCATAATGGAAAAGAATATGGAAAAGAATGTATATATGTTTATGACTGAGTCACTTTGCTGTACAGCAGTAATTAACACATCAATCAACTATACTTCAATAAAAAGAATTTAGAAAACAATAGTACATTCATATGATTCAAAAGCCAAATAATATTAAAAGACGCAGCCTTAAAAGACTCCATCTCACCTTATCCCCCATCCACTCCAGTTCCCCCCCAACAAGTAACTGCTTTGCAGTGTGTGTGTGTGTGTGTGTGTGTGTGTGTGTGTTTCCTTAAGCAAACACAAACAAATCATATATATTCTGGGAGCGTAAAATGCACGTTGTTTTCTGCAAACTAACACACAGCATTTATGTGCCAGATACTGATACAAGTACTTTGTAATATGAATTCATTTATTCCGGCCTAACAACCTGATGAGGTAAGTAGTAGTATCATCATCCCATTTTACAGATGAGGAAACTGAGGCAGGGGGTTAAGTAATTTCACCAAAGTCACACAGCTAATGAATAGCAAAGCCAGGACATTCCAGCTCCAGAGTCTATGCTCTGAAGCACTGCACTATGCCAGTATTTCCTTTCCCCTTCCAGGGAGAAGGCTATGTGTCCAGAACTTCAGGTGTCAGGACATAATTATGCTCTTCCTTCAGACATAAGGGAGGTGGGGTGCAGTGCAGCAGGGGCAGCAACAGCTGGGAGCCAGGTTCTCAGCTCCACTCAAGAAAACAGGCAACACACTACTATATACAAAATAGATAAGGACATACTGTACAGCACAGGGAACTCTACCCAATACTCTATAATGGCCTATATGGGAAAAGAATCTAAAAAAGAGTGGATATATGTATATGTGTAACTGATTCACTTTGCTGTACACCTGAAGCTAAGACAACACTGTAAATCAACTCTACGCCAATAAAAACTGAAAGAAGAAAAAGAAAACAGGCAAGTACCTGCAGCCACACTTGTAGAGGCCCACGGACACTCTGCCAGGATATGTCACCCTTTCCCTCTCCCAAAGGCTCAGAAGGGCGAGGTGACCATGTTACACCACACAGCCTAGTGAGTGAATGAGGCGGAGGCAGGAAGCCTGAGGGCTTGGTCCCCACATCCCCCGAGCTCTGCTCACTCACCTGGAGCCCGACGCTGTCTGCCTGGCCACCTTTGATGAGGTGGGAGATGAAGAGCCCGCAGCCGAACTCGAGGCCACCACGCACGCTGAGGCCGAGGCCTTCGGGGTGCAGCCGGTCCAGACGCACCTCCTTCAGCTTCCTGCCAAGGGAGGAGGGACTGGTGACGGCCCAGCTCTGGCCTGATGGCCAGCGCTGCCCCATCCACTCGTGAGTGACCCTGTCCATCCCAGGGTGACCTCTCCCCCGCCCCGCCTCCGGCCTGTGGCTCCCTCCGCACCTGGAGCGCCGGGGGGTTAGCTGGTCGTACTCCACCTGGTGCTTCAGCGGGATCAGGGGCCGGATGGCGTCAAACAGGGGCAGGCGGCTGGGCTCGTTGATGACCAGCTTCAGGTCTCCCACAAGCACGGCCACGTCCATGGTTCTGCAGAGACACAGGGACCCTGAAGCCTCCCCCTTAGCCATGACCTCTGAGACCCCAGGATTCCCAGAGGAAGCAGTCCTGGGCTGGGTCCCCACCCACTGGGCCCAGGCCTTGGAATTGAGGAGAACTCTCCTGAAATGCCCAGAGCCCCTAACGATGGGTCGGGTGCCTCAGAAGAGTTCGTTCTCCCATGTAAGTATCTCAAGGAAACCATCGAAGTAGGGGTTGTTCGCTCATCCTGCGGATGAAATCAAGCCAGGATTCAAAGTCAGCTCTGCCTACTTCTGAAGCCCAGCATCCTTCCAGACAGGAAACCTCTGTGAGATGGCGGTGAGCTCTCTCATCCCCTTGTTTCCTGCTCTGAGCTGCAGCCTCATACTATCTCTCACAAGCTTCCACCTCAGACCGTTCAGACCCTCAACGTCTGGGGCCAGCACCTCTCCAGCTGCCAGCTGACTGGCTCACTCTCAGCCCATCTTTTTTTAAAATGTAAATTGCTCCCCTTCTCAAAACCCTTCGATGGCTCCCCACTGCCCAGAGGACACAGTCCATCCTTCTTGGTAGGCTCAGGGCCTCCATGACCTGTTTCTGTGGAACTGCCCAGGCTGGTGGCTGTTATGGTCTCTGTCACAACCTGTGCTTTCACATCTCTGAACCGTTGCTTATGTTGATCTCTCACCCTGGAATGTCCTTCCCTGATATTTCCACCCAGCAAAATCCTTCTTACCCTTCAAAAACCTAGCTCAAGCCTTCTTGATCCTCCCTCCACAGTTAGAACTGAGAACTCCTTTCTGTACATTCCTGCTTTCCTGCTTTCCTCTCCTCAGCAGTTATTTCACTGGAACTTGTATTACAGTTCCTTGTGTTGCTAGTGTCTGTCCATCTCCCCCAACTAAGCCACAAGTTAGTTGAGGAAAGGAAGTAGATATTCATTTCCACATTCTGCATGGTGCCCGGCCAGTGGCAGGAGCTTATAAATGTTGCTGAATGAATCAAAAAGCGGGTGAGCGATAACAGGCATCTGATGCCGGCACTGGGACCAGCTGGCATTTCCTGTCCTATCCTAGCAATCACACTCTGTTGAACCTATCTGGTTACCTGACAGCCTCCCCCATCAGACTGTAAGCAACTAGGTGGCAGCAACCAGTCTGTCTTGCTTATACGTGTACCCCTATCCGCTAGCACAGAGCCATACACAGTGTATTTGTGTAAATATTTGCTGAGACAAGTGAGTGGCGTGTCTATTTGATTCCCAGGAACACCGAGCATGAGCCTCCCTGAGCCCCCCAGGATAAGAGGGGGAGGTCCTCCTGTCTCAGAACAATCCATCCCAGGTTTCCCTGAAGACAGAGGTACCCGGGGTGGCCCACAGGAGCTGGACCCAGTACACTTACTGGTGGTACATCCGCAACACATCGTAGAGATAGTCCTTTTCTGCATCATTTTCAATCAGAAAATCCACCTGGAAAACCCAAAGGCAGAATTACAACTCCAGGCCCAGCACCCTGATAGCAGATCCCCCCTGCTGGGGGACCTCCTCCACATCTCCTCAGGGTTGTGAGAAGAGGAAGGAAGCCAGAGCCAGGGTGGCCCCCCGACTCCAACACATCAGACTGTGCAGACCACCCCGATGTGGCCCCAGGAGTACCTCTAAGCATCCGATGTGGTCAGGCTGAGCCTCGTCCCCAGGTGGAGTGATGCGTGTGCACACAGGGACGCACACAAATATCATACACGTGAACCCCCATGTGACAGCAATGCACCCCCATGGCAGCCATGCTGCCGGTCACCTCCATGGCTATGTCACCTGTGTCCAGTGTGGCAACACCAATGTCAGCTCCCCGCTCTGGAAGAAGCCCACTGTCTTACCTGATGGTGGCTGTGGTGCCAGATAGCTGCTTTCAGAAAGGATTTAGGCCACTCGCTCATAGAGCACATCCCACCGGCCGGGAGCGCCCTACCACTGGATTCTTCCTTGTCCAGTCCTGGCCTAAGCTGGGTCGGCCCTGACTTCTGGTCAGTCCTTCCCCTTCCCAGGCCCCTGTATGCCTCCCCCGCCACCCCAAGGGGAGAATCGGGTTACATTATTTCAACTTCACTGACGTCAATGGCTGGGAGTCCAAGGTCAGGGTCAAGAGCTGTTTCATTAGCACCTCAGTCCCAGGGGAGCTGGTGGGCCAGGAGCCCCAGATTCCACTCCCTGGGACAGCTCAGTGTGAATCTCTGTGCACTATATCCTTAGCTCTCTCTTCAGCCCAGGACTGAGTAAGAGGGCAGGGTGGAGGCTCGAGGGGTCCTTGGGCCCCTCCCTCCTCCAGCCTCCAGGCCCAACAGCATGGTCCAGGGCCTCAGCCCACAGAGGGAGAAGCTGCTGCTGGAAGCTGGAAGCTCCCACCTGATTGGTCCTCAGAGGAGGGCCAGGGCATCTTTGCCTTTTTCTACGGGCATCTTAAGGACTCTGGAAGGTTGGGGGAAATCTGTCTGTCCCGACACAGAGAGGACGTACTGGGCCCAGCCCTTGGGATTTCTGGACTGAACAGGAGGGGTACAGAATACAGATTTCTTGTCTCCACCTAGCTGTACCCCCATCCCCTAGAATTAGGCTGAGCATTTCATTAAAGATGAGAATAACCTAGGAGGCTTGCCCTGCACTCACTGACTCACAGCTGGGCTTCAGCAGCTACAGAAGTTTATATCCCCCCTGCTCCAAGAAGGGTACTGCTGCTTTCTCCCACTTCACTGCCCCTCTCCTCCAGGCCAGGGGCTCCCAGCTAGCCAGAGATGGGGGACAGAAGCATCAGCTACAGTGGGTGGTACTGAACCTTAGGTGGTAGCCCGGGCCTTTACACACACCACAGAAGTGGGTACCTCCAAAAGCTCATCTCTACGAGGGGCCAGCCTGGACTCGCTCTCCCTGCTCTGCCTGGGCCTGCAAGAGAGGGGTGGGGAACAGTGTCAAGATAGGCCTGGGCTGCCCACATGCGGCTGTGGAAGAGGAGTCTGAGCAGAGAAAAATTCTGAATTTCCCTAGGATCAGGGGCCAGAAATACTTAAATAAATTGGATCATATCACTTGAGTACTTAATAGCTTCTCATTGTACTCAAAACAAAATTCAGATCCAAATTCTTTACCTTAACTTATCAAAGCCCAACTTCAGCTCCTGACTGGTTGCATGGGCCTCCTTTCAGTGCTTCCCACGGGCCACACTCGCTCTAGCCTCAGGGCCATCGCATGTGCTGCTTTCTCTTTCTGGACTGCTTCCCCTCTTCCCTGCATGGCTGGCCTCCTCCCCAGGGAGGTCTCCCTGCTCACCTACCTAAACAGAACGCACTCCCACACCCCAGAGATGCTTCAATTCCTTCACTGTAACAGTCACAATTTGTAATGAAAGGCTTGCTTTTTTGTGAATTGCTCTGTTTCCTTCATCAGACAGAAAACCCCATGAGGGAAAGATGAGGTCTGTGTGTTCCAAATCTCTTGTGACTAATGCATAGTAAGTGGTCAATAAATCAGCATCAAATGGATTTGTCCATCCCCCTGCCTCCTGGTACGTCCACAATCAGATGGGAGAAAGGGAATCGCTGGAAAAGAAGGGGAAGGGAAATAATATTTGCACCATGGGATGGCACCAGGAGCTTTTCTAGGCTTTATTCCATGTGTTTATCTCACCAGCCCTACAAGGCCGATGTTCTCACACCATTTTGCAGATGAGGAAACTGAAGACCAGAGAGGTTCAGCCATCTCACTCAAGGTCCCACAGCTAATAAGAGACAGAGCTAAGGTTTGAACCTTGGTCTATATGATTCCAAAGCCTATGCTCTTCCTGCTGGCACCACTGCGTGGGTGAGTCAGGCCTTCCAGAGGAAAAAATTCCAGGGCCTCCTTAGGCCAAAATTTCAAACGCTCTGCTCTCAGGAGGACCTCCCTTATCTCTAATCCCCACCACTCTCCTCTGCACTATTAAGAAAACCCTTTGGGTTTGGTTCATAACAAGAAAGAAAACACAACATCTTTTGGGTGACTCTTGGAACCGCAGATGTTCTGTTCTCTAAGGAAGCATAAAAATCCCATCTGCTCTGATTGCAGTGAGGAGAGCCCAACCAAAGGGCTTCTAGCTCAATTCCAGCCATGGGTGGTGACATAAGACAAAGTAGAGGAGAGGGAAATCTCTTATTCACTGAGGCCTTAAGACTGAAGCTCTCTCCCACCCCTCCTTGCAGAAATGCCTCCTGCTGCATCATTAAATGTAAGAAGTGAGGCACTGTTCCTGGTAGACAGCATTTAGGCACTGGGTGGACAGTGGGAATGGAAGACAAAGGCAATTTCCAATGTTAAAGTCTAGGGTTCTGCTTTTCTGCCCTCCTGGGCCAAGCATAGAACACCTGGAGATGCTCTTTGTGGAAAGAGCCTATTCCCGGGGGTCCCAGGTTCCTGGTCCTTGTGGGCAGCCCTCCAATGCTGACCACTGCATCCAGAGGCCCCACTGAGAAACCACGTCCTACCAGTCTCCTTCTGAGGCAGCCCACAAAGTTCAGCTCCTTAGCCTGATGTCCATCCACTCTCACCGCTTAGGTCACTCCCATCCTGGCCTTCAGTTCTGCCCTTACCTGCTCCTCCAGGGTCATCTCCTTGGGGATCTCCATCATTCCCCAAGTGGGACTCAGGCTGCAGCTGAACAGACCCTTCCCCCAACATATTGGAACCTTCCCATCCTCACTCAGAATGTTTCATCGACCCCCAGAAATTCAACTCGTCCATTTAAAAAATTATCCACACACCATTATATCTGGGAAAACATACCCGGTTTCTGTAGAATGCTCTTTAAGTACAAATGTAAGTGATAAATCAAAATGGTGGTACTCTGGTGACCCTGACCATTCTCCACCGGGGAATGTCTCCAGAGAGACTCAGGGATAACAGCACTGCTTTGTTCTCTGACCACACCCGAGTGAAAACACACAGTCACACCTCAGCCTCTGGGCTTTAAAAGGAACCGAGAAAGACAACCGAGAAGCATGGAACTTTCTCTAGAAGCTCAAACATGCAGTAACCTCACCACCGTAATTCAAATTTCACTTTTTAAATATTTAAAAAATGTATATGGTATCTCCTCCTCCTGGAATCTGGGTTCAAGCAAACTCCCCGGGGGTGGGGGGGCGCTGCCCAGCACCAGTCCAAGGATCAGCTTCAGTGAACCCTGCCCTTGGGCCCTTGGTACCATTCTCCTGAAACCTTGAGCTCAGGTACCTGTAACCCACCTGGCACAAAGTAGGTCTTCAACAGCACCGTGCCATGCACACGGGTGCACAGTGCTCAGTGTGTCTGCTGAATGACGAGTGAACTCCTTTAGCCTTAGACTAGAGCCTTCCTTCCTTCCTCTCCGCCCAGTCCAGTCACCTTCCCATGGCTTCTTAGTACACAGCCTCCTGGATCTGGCTCCTCTCAGCTCAGTTCCCGCTGCTCACAAAGAGTAGGTCCCAGACCCAAGCAAGAGGGATTGCCCTCCCTCCTCCCACCTGACCCCTGCCTTCATTTAAGGGGAGTCCAAGCCCCCTCTTCTAGAGTCTTTCCTGACCGTGCCCAGCCCAGAGCCTCCTTACAGGCCTCCCAGCCTGAGGCCCTTCTTGCCCGGCTCCCTCATTCAGTACAGACTCTGCTTACAGACTGGCCATCATGTCTGAAGAACTTTACTTGCATTATCTTTAACCTCCCAACAACCCTCTAAGTGGATGGATATTATTATCCCCATTAGACAGATGAGGAAATCGAGGCTCAGAGAAGTGGGAGAGATGAGATGCCTGCTGGCTCCAAAACCCCTGCTTGTTTTCTAACTCCCGCATGATATCCACTTACCAGACAGAACTTTCTTGTTTGCATTTGTCCAATACACATTTACTGAGCACCTACTGTGTGCAAGACCATGTCTTCTTTCTATAGCTAGATTTAGAAAGCTTTTCCTTTTCTTGGATCCCCCTTGATGATGGGCACAGAAGCCCTAATGAGGCCACCATCTACAAAAAACTGTGTGGGGGTCTCTATCACATCAATCCCCCATTCCCACCCAACTTGTGTCTGGTCCCCTCCATCCAGCATGGGCATTCTCTGACAGGTGCTCAGCTGGCTCAGTGTTATTGGCCTGCATGGTGTGTGGGGGAAGTGCATCTCCCCCCTCATAAGGTTCAGGCCCCATGTCTGGGGCAGTGGAGGCAAATTCTGGCTTTGGGCTTGAGCCCTCTCCAGCCTCATCTCCCTGCCTTCCTGCATATGGACTGGCCTTTCAGAACAGCCGCACAGCGGAAGCACACAACCTTCAACTTATGCAAATTCAACTCCATGCATGCACCCAGCCAAAGATGGAGAAAGAGAGCAAGAAGCAAGTTAAATAATGCACGTTGTTCCGCTGGGTGACATTTGCCCTCCTGGGGCTGTGGTGGGGATTAAATGAATGAATGTATATAAAG